CATGGGCCCCTCTGGCCCAGCCCAAGGCCTCCTCGTGCGGCTGCAAGACTTCCCGTAGCGAGTCATCGGGGTTGGGGGTCTTCATGCTCGCACTGAAGCAACCCTGGTCGTTTGGGTACCAGTAATTAAGGCAGCTGAAGAACGGCTCCCAGGTATGCCCAAGCAGTGACAACATCGCCACTGTGTCGCGCCTGCGCGCCAAAGAGTGGAGTACCCGCTAAGAGCTCTGCAGTTCGCCGCTCCTGGGGCCTGGGACGCGGCAGCGTCACCAGGTGTGCAAGCTTCGACAGAAGGAGTGGGACAACCTCCGCGGCCCAATCCGCCAGTGCCGTCGGGGACAACCCATACCGGCGGCAGAGTTGCGAGTCCCCAATTGTGCTCCCTTCACCCTCGCACTCACAAGCGTCCACATAGGCCTGCCAAGACCCTGGACCGCGCATGTGTCGTGGCAAAATGCCAACTTCCGTATGAAGTCGGCCTGGCTCCTTAGCAAAGACAGAGAACCCCCCCTGGGCATCCGTGGAAGGCTCCGTGACAAAGATTACACCTACGGCGGACCTACGGATTCGTGTGAGCGCCGACAGCAAGGACTGCCTTGCACAGGTACAGTGGGCGCAAATGACCATACCGTATCGTCCGGGGCGGGCATGCCAGCGCCGGAAGAAGCCTGTAGATCCTGCGTGTCAAGGCACAGATCCTGCAAGTCAGCTACCTCGAATAGCGCAGTCGGGGCCGCATCATGATCCGACAAGATGATATGTTTGCCCGGGAGCAAGGCTCTAAGCACCCATAACGCATAGACCTTGCCCCACCAAACCACCGCCTTGTGCAAGCCCGTCTCTTGCCGTAGCGGGAAGAAGACACAGGCGTGCCGTTCATCATGCCGGCCAGTCCCAAAGAACAAGCGAGTATTCAACTGAGCAGCTGCGCTTTGTACAGCTGTCAGGGCTCGCCCCCTTGCCAAACTACCCAACCTGCCGGGTTTGGCGCGAGTGTTTTTATTTGGTAAGGCAGGACTCACACGGTAGAATGACTACACAGGTTCGCTCACGGTCTCCCCCTGCTGTGCTAATATCAAGCCGCGCGAAGCACGAGGCGCTAAGGCAGCACGGTCGCATCACAGAGTCTGGAGCGCCCAGCGCACTTCAGAGCAGCCCCGCGCAGCGGCCGATTTTTAGGAGAGCACAATAAGCAGGTTTCCCCCGTGACTACACCTGATATGGGACCCACAGCAAAGTGTTCGTCAGGAGTAAGGCTTAAGCCTCCTCTGTGGGCTGTTCTTCCGACTGTACATCGAGCCGAGCGAATAGACACCCACGAGCAGTAGCTGCAGCTGCCAGTAAGCAACTGCTGCCCCTATCCCTGGACACTCCCGCCAGTAAGCAGAAGAGCCAGGAGATCTGAGCACTACCACTCTCTCACTGCACTGCGAATCCAGCAGAGGGTCGAAGGCACGAAAAAAGGCCTCGCCATGCTGAGCTAAGCACAGACAGCAAGCAAAGGCCCACTAAAGCTTGACCGGCCAGGGACCCAGTCTGTAGCGACGTCTGAGGGCACTGCTAATCTCCGGAAGAAAAGCAGGCAGCAAACACACGAGTTGACCGTTTTCCCCGGCCTCGCCCCTCACCGTTAGCCACCCGGTGAGCACAGATCCCTGTCAGGTCTGTGACAATACTGCTGCTCACTGAAAGCACCGGAGCACCCGAGTGAAGCAACAGCCCGCTGCCAACGAGAAGCTGCAGTAACAGCCCCCGAAAACTTGCCCCCGCCAGTAGGCAGAACCACCCAGCAGGGAAGCAAGCCACAAACGCGATGTGCCTCACTACCCTAAACCCCCCGTGGGACGTGCAGATGGTGAGAACACCAGAAGCATTCATTTCCCACGACGGCCACCAGAAGGGACGTGCAGAGCATTCATTTCCCTAAAGGCAGCCGACCCCGTCAGTAAACAGGGCGGGATAAAGAGCAATTCGACACAAAGCGCTCATGAGCAGCAAGCCGAAGCAACGCAGACACTGCAAGCTGAAGCAGTGCGGCCCCACACTCTGGCTATTTCCTTCCAGAGACGTATAAGGCCCAGCAATGCGGACTAGACAACTGCGAGGGTCTTCTGCCGCCTAGGTGCAGCAACTCCCCTCCGACTGTGCCCTTCTACCGGTTACCCCACCCAAGATCAGTGGCTACAGACAAGGCACACCCGGCCAACCTTGCCTGGGGTCTAGGGGCGCTGGATTGCACAGCCGAACCCATCCCTCGCGGATGGACAGTTGCCTCTCTGCCGGCGCCAACCAGCAGCAGCGGTTGAGAATGTGTGGCAGCGTATAACGGGTGTGGTCATACTCTTCCAAGGCATCTGTATCCGTGAAGAGCCAAAGGGTGTGACAATGCACGACAGCGGGGTCAGTACAGAGCCACACAGCGTAGCGGCCCAGGTTGACCGGCACGGATGGGTCGTACATGCGGGGAACCTCTGAGGACTGGGCAAAGGGAAGCAGGTCTACATTGATTGGCAGCTCCTGGCAGCCGTAGAGCGAGCTGATGGTGTCGCTGCTCTCCTCGATCGGGGTACGTCGCGTCACTCCTGACCGAACGCTCAGACGGCTGACCAGGAGGCCCACCAAGCTGCGCCCTGCCCTGGGTTCGTGCGAGCAAACAATCACCGGCAAATTACAGCACAGCGCCAAGGCGTCCGCAATCGTCACCAGGTAACCCGCAATGGAAAAAGGAGAATTTGCAGTGGGACACCTTGTTGCATGAAGTGCCAAGACGCCGGGAGTTCAGTGAAATCGGGTGCGTCCACGAAGCTCGGAAGCACCTGCACCAGCAAGTACCCCTCGTACATTTGGAGGTGTATGTGCTCCAGCCCCGAGATCGCATGTTGAAGGGACGCCACAGCCAGAGAGATGGGCCGATGGATGTCCGTGCCCACGCCGCTGACCACGAGGCGTGTGTGGAACAATGTAACGGCCATGGCGCTGCCGACTACCACCTAAGATCATTTCGTCCCTTCAACTGGCCGGCGACGTATGTCGCCGCCTGAGCCCCGACGCACTCAAGAGCGGTTGCCCACAGTTACTGCCTGGAGACGTGCTCGCTAACACCGAAGCCTTCCCTTTTGGACCCCGCGCAGACCTCCAGTCACGGCAGGTGGCCTGTAGAGACATGGTTCACGGTGTTTTCACATTGTTTTAAAAAAAGGGGGGGGTCTGGGGAAGCTGAGCCCGGCTTGTCCAGACCAGAACCACAGACCGTCATGAAAGACATGTCACCCCAAGTAGAAAGTTTGGTAGCCCTGTCGGCCACTGGCGTCCCAGTCGCGATGGTGTGCAATTTGCTCCACCACGCTGGCAACTTGCTTAAACCACACCCTCACAGTCTCGTGTCCCGCCTCCTGCCAGTTATGGTGCAGCTCGATCACAACCAGATTGGCGCGCATGCCCACCGCCGCCATGAGAACCATATCGATGTCACTCGGGGTGAGCTGAAACTCGGGGTCGGCCGCCAAGTCGAAGTGACAGAGGTCGCCATAGCGAACGTTAATGTGCTGATCAAGGCGTTTCCACACCAAAGGCAAGGCAGGGGCCGCCATCTCAGGAGCAGAGCGGAGGCAGAGCGGCCCGCGAGACACACAAGTGAAGGTGCTAGCGACGTATGTCGCCGCAAGTCTGAGCCCCAGTGGCATGCGTGCAAGCGGGGTGAGAGCAATGACGAGCAGCCGGACAAGAGCAGGATACAGGGTTTTTTACCTCGCAAGAGAGAACTGCCAGAACTCCGGGTCACGGTGGCGAACCACTGAGCCCAATTTAAAAAAAAACCGAGCAGGCCGTTAGCCTTATGTCCCTCACTCGGCGCCCTCGCGGACGAAGGCCTGGTAGCCGTGCCACATGGCTGCGTCATGTCTCGTTCGGGAGACGGCGTCCGCACCCCTGGGATCATCAGGAAGAAATTTCACCCACGCACGGCGAATGCGCCCTTCGAAGACCACGCAGTTCGCTCCCCGCTGTGATGCCAGGGTCAGCGCGAAAGTGACAAAGAGCGGGTCGATGTCCATCGACGAGGTAATCTGGAACATGTCAAAGCCTGGAATATTGACGTTGGCAGGCATCTCAGTCCACGCGCTTGCCATGCTTGGAACCGTTGTGTCTCTACTAACAGCTTAGCTGCTTTAACATGACTTAGCACACCAATTGCTAAGGCCTTGCTAAGTATAGTAACTTCTAATAAATTAGACGAAAATAATACTTTTTGCGGGCCCAGAACGGCTAAGGGAGGAAGAAAAACCTTGCAAAAAAATTGTGCAACCCGTGAACACACAGAACGTCCAAATGCTTTTGCTGGTGAAGTGGAATCAGGACGAAGACAGTGTGTAGCTGTTGGTTTACGATTGTGTTCAAGAAAAACATGAAGAAATCAGCACGGTGTATTGAGCCTGAGTGCCTCAAGGTGTTAAGTTCAGCAATTCAGAGCTTTAGGGTTTGAGATGTGAGCTGGAAAGCTGGCGGTCATGCACAAACTCTGATCACGTTTATTTCAAGCAGGACCTCGGGACTGCTTCTTGATTCTTGGGCAGTTCGCATGTTTTGCTTGCTCGTGTGTAACGAGGCCATGCTGAAATCTGCAAAGCAATGTGCGACGAAGCAAACTATTGTCTGGCTCAGAAGCTTTCCTAGACAAGGACGTATACATGGTCTATAGAGTGTCCTGCTGCGCAGTAAAAGGTGCTGATGCTGAAAATTAGTTTTGCAAAACAGGGTGCTTGCCACGGAAGGAAAACGTGTTATGGGGTGAAGCACTCTTTGTGCTGGAGATTGAAGCACTTATGTTCTGGGATGGAAGCACTTATGTGCTGGAGATGCATTGCAAGCACTGTCGTGCTGGGGATGGAAGCACTGTTGTGCTGGGGAAAAGGAGGAAAACTGCACATGTGTCATGAGCTCTTAACATCCATGCAAAATATGCGATCTTTTGGCCAGGCCGAAAGGACCAAGGAATCAAGATTCTCACTCGCTGGCCCTCTGCAGCCCAGATAACTGGACACAGGATCTTTTCAGTAAGAACGAAGTGGAAAGACGCTGTGTCGAGTAGGTGGCCGCATCGTACTCGACAAGGTCAGAAGTGCGGACCACAGAACAAACCAAATCCGCGGCCTCGAAATGGCACTCAACCTTGGCAATCTGCCAGCCCCACTGGTTTTCCTGCTGGATCAAGACATAATCCTTCTGGTGCACCTGGCCCCCTGTCTCCAGCATGGCAGCGGCAGCTGTCCAGATATGGTCCTTGGCGATGGCTGCCTTGAAAACAGACTCGCAGAGGTACTTGTGGAGCTGGGCACTTGGGTGTCGCTTCTGGACCAGGTGGGCAGATTCCTCGAAGCTGTCCGATGTCTGCACAGCATGGATGTCATGGGCCAAGACTTCTTCGAGCAGGCTCTGGCTGAAGACTGGTATCTTCATCATGTTGGTGGCGTACATGGTCACGACTTTGTGCTTTCTTTCCAGTGGCCAGCAGTTGGGAAGGAACCCCATGGCCTCCAGCTGAGTGCTCAGATGGAGCATCCAGTGGTGCTTCCTCACCATGGCGGCCTCGTTCCCAGCACGCTTGAAGATGGTGAGGGCATCTTGGACCTGGTGCCTGCAATCTGTCGAGGCGAAGCTCAGTACAAGTAAAATTCGACAAACTCAAATAAAGCTGCGTTTAGGATACCTGCACAAAACATCTTCTTGTTGCGGCTGGGATGCAGCAACTGGGCTGGAGACACTGTGCTCATGTGGGTGGCTTGGAGCATCTCCTGGACCTGGGCCATGGCCAGAAAGCTGTGGCGCTGGTCCACCTGGATCCCTGCTGGCAGCCAAAGGCGCTGGACCATGTACTGGAGCAGCGTGGTGAGGCCCAAGCACTCACTGGCTGTGCATTTGAACCTCTGGTTCTCCCTGTAGAACTTGGTTCTCTTGGGAGTGAAGAGGTCATGGAGCTTGCCAGCCTTGGCCAATGCGGCTGGCATGGTCCAGAGTTGGAGAAAGCTTTCCATGTGGTCCCATGCATTGGTTGTGGAAAGCAGCAACCAAATGGACTTCTGCATGACACCTTGGGATGCCATGGTGTGCATCCAATCATGGATGTAGCCAGAAACTGGGCGCAAGATGTTCTGGTCCAACAATGCCTGGCCATGGTTTAGGGTTATAGGGTTATAGGGTTTAGGGTTTAGCAAAAAGCAATACAAAACCCTACCTTCCTTTATGACGGACACAAAGACTTCTTCAAAGATTGAAGGTTTACAATAGGGGTTATAGGGCATTGGCAGGAACCTGGTCCAGCAGCATGGAGTGCTGGTTGTGGGTGATGCCAGCTGCTTGTTGGTACATGGCGAACTGGTCCTTGGGCATTGTCCTCGACAGCCTCTGGCAGGTCTGGAAGGCTGTCAAGACTTCCTGGTCTGTGGCCAACTCACACTCGCTCAAGTGGGTGACATTGGAACCTGGAATGTCTTCTTCTTCTTCCAGAGTGGCTTCGGTGTGGATGGCCATGCTCCTTATGTTGTTGCATAAAATGCAAAATTTGGTTCCGGAATCTCCTTTTGTGGAGAAAGTCTGCTTCATGGCCAGGCCATCCTGGATCCACCCGCCCATGGTGAAGAACAGTCGGATGTCTTGCGTGGAGTCCGTGGCGTGTGGCAGACACAAGCCGAGTCTGGGATCTGCAATCTTGTTGCAAAAGATGGATCTCAGTAGCTTGGAAAATACCTGGCTAATGCCAGCCTCCAGGCTGGCGACTTCGCTGCTTCTGGCAATGGAAAGCAGGAACCATGTGTCCTCGTGCTGGAGCTTGGTGTGGAAACTGGCGTATATAGCCCATGTTTTTCTTTCCAGTCTGTGGCCTAGTTGGTTGCCTGGCAGAACCCAGTTGCCTCCCTGCTTATAGAGTCCAGCAAGCAGGCTCATGCAGTTCGTGAGCCAAATGTTCTGCTCGTCGCCTGTGATGGTTGCCATGGGCTCATGGAGCAGCAAGTCACCATACGTGTTCATGCTGGACAGGATGGACCTGGTGGCCTCTTTCATGGCCTTTGCCTGCCTGATCTCTGGCAGTCCTTCCTTGTGGACCTTCTGGAGCAAAGTTGCCAAACCATTCTGGCTGATGTATGGCAACTCTCGTCTGAAGTCGTTCAGCTTCCGCAGCTTGGCAGCTCTGGTGTCAGTAGAGGAAGTGGCCATTGGACACGGCCTCTTCAAGGGTGCCCATGCGTGGACCGCAGAAGAAAGTGTAAATGCATGCTGTGCATATATCTCTATATATATATATATATATATATGTATATATATATATATATAAAACATATATATATATATAGATACATATATATATATATATATATAGATACACATATATATAATAGGTAGGCAATGCGTTAAAGTAGAGGCCACATACAAATATAGGTATCCCGCCACCTTCTTCGTAATGTTTTTATTGCATCCATACTGTCGCAAAATGCTTCGAAGTCAAAACCTCTACCTGCCACTCTGTGGCTGATGGAGCTGCGGCAAGCAGAAAGATATCCATGCACATGCATGATGCAGTGAAGCACTGAGTGCTGCAGGGTATGAAAGCATGCACAGCATGCTGGAGGGCATTGGGCATTGAGCACGGTGTGCTGGGAACCTTAAGCATGGCATGCTGTTGCAGCTGCCTTGACAGCAACCTCTGCATTGCAGGCAAAGGACATGTGCATGCATTCATTTTCTGCTTCGCCAGCATGCGCGTGCATGTCAGCACGGCCATGGTGTCTGGCCAACCCCTTTTTAACCGGTGGGAAAGCCGAGGAATCTTCTTTCTGGAGTAAGCTAAAAACGTGCAAGTTGCAACTTTGGTCCGAAGCTTGGATTCCTTGGCATCCCTGAAGTGGAAGGCTCACTTGGTGGCCTTCTTCTTGGCAGCCTTCTTAGCTGCGACCCAAGCCCAGTACGCAGCTGGACTGCCGAACCTCCGACCTTTGAAGGCTGGGTTTTTGCATTGGGTACAGGAGCTTCCCCTGCACTTACAGCAACCCAAAACCAGCGTGTGGGAACCACTGCTGGGATTGCCCGTGGCCTTGCTTTTGGCCTGTGGCTTCCCTTTGGCTTTGGCTTTGGCCTTGGCCTGAGCTTTAGCCTTGCCTGCCGCCTTCGCTTTGGCTTTCGCTTTGGCCTTGGTCTGGGCCTTGCTCTGCTCTTTGGCTTTTTGAAGGTTTGCAAAAGCCTGGTTGGTCCAAGCGTCCAGTCCTTTGTGGCTGCTTGGCTTCTGCTGGTCCTCGCTGGAGTCCTTGGCAGCAGGTTCTTCAACCGCTGGGTCAGCTGGCGCCGTGCCTGCCTGCAGGTCAACAAGCTGCAGCTGCGTTGTCTGGCTCGACTGCTGGGGCAGCGGTGTCTGGCTGGGCTGCTGCGACGGCAGCTGCAGTGCCGGCACTGGCTGCCCTGCCTGCTGTGCTGGCACTTGTGGCTGCTGCCAAGGCACCACTGCCTGCTGCGCTGGCACTTGTGGCTGCTGCCAAGGCACCTGCTGCAAGTGGTGTGGTTGCTGGTACGGCGCCTGGAGTGGCAGTGCAGGGCAGTTGTGCAGCTGCTGGGTCTGGGCCGCCCAGGTCTGCAAGGCAGAGTTCGGCTGGCCTGCTGGTTGCTCTTGGCCTGCAACGGCCTGGTGGTTGGCGGAGGCCGCCACTTGCTTCCGTTGGGCTTGCAGTTTTGGGTCGTAGATGGACCCTCTCAGCAGTTTGGAGGTGTTCCGCACTGGGATGTGGTGACTCAGCAGGAGTGGCAACCGGTCCAACTGTCTGGCCTCTGGCTGTTCACCATTTGGATAAGACAACTCCATCTGGTTCAGCTGGTTGGGGTGCAGTGGGTACTTGGCAAGCTTGGTTACCCCTGCTGGGGTCTCCACAGGGCTGCTCTGGAGGACCTGGCAGAAGTGGACCACCAACTCGTAGATGGTGGTGTATGGTGGCATCTTTGGATGCTTGCCGAGCTGGATCGACACCAGCACTCCTGCAACGGCGCGCTTCGTGCTCTCCTTGGCGCTGGTCAGTCCCAGCAAGCGGAGTCTGGAGACTATGCAGTCCACGCCTTGGAACATGGTGCTAGTCTGGAGCTTGGCCCAATCCTCACTGGTGAGGTAGTTCTGGAGGTGTTCCAGATCTTGGGCTTGCATCGTTGTGCGGGATGCGTGGTTCATCTGGCCCTGGAGAAGGCGGTCTTCCACGGTGTGGGACAGCTGGTCCTTCACTGGCTGTGGAAGTTGGCTGTCTTCAAAGCCTTGGAAGAGAACCATGGCATCCTGACTAGTCAAGGCTGCCATGTTCTGCAGCTTGTGGACCAGCTGGTTCTGCACGGACTCCATGAAGTGTGGCTGCTGGTTCGTGCGAAGGAGCAGCTGCTCTGTGGCCTTCACTTCGGCCAGCAGCGTTTGCACCGTGAAAGCCATGGCAGGCACTGGTCTCTGCGAAGGCTACAGGTTGGAAAGCCAACTTGGAAGCCTCGGGCTGCAGCTCATGGTCGCATCGTCTCTCCGATTCAATACAAGTCATGCTATGAATGCTGGAGACGTGCAAAACGACAACTTAGCAGTGAAAGCATTGAATGCTGGGGACATCAGGAAAAATTGTTGAAAAGCATCACATGCTGGGGCAGCACCATGGTGCTGGTTATGGTGAAAGCATTGAATGCTGGGCTGCAGCACAAATGTGCTAGGATTAGACTGCCAGTGATGCTAAAAGCGTTGAATGCTAGGGCAGCACAAGTGTGCTATATAGTTTCTGGTCAGAAGCATGCAATGCTGTGCATGCGGGAGCAGGAGAGGAACGCTCATGCTATACCTGATGGATGCAGTGCCCTGCATGGCTGCTGTTTTAGTCCTCGCTGCTGCTGCTGGATTCGGAGATCCAGGTGGCCGCGGTGGTGGTATTTCTTCTACATCCCACATGGAGGCTGGTGCATGGATGACCAAGTGGCCCATTTTGTAGTCCCATGGGCCAAGCAACACTTTGTACTGGATGCTCTGGCTCCAGTAGAAGATGATGTGAAAGCCTGGGCCTGGGAGATACAGCTTGTTGTCGCAGAGTGGGAAGGCGAGGAAATCGGCCACGGCCATGTGGACTTCCTGTGGCATTTGCCAGTGGTACAAGCCCAACCACTCCTCTTTCACTGGGTCTAGCTCCTCTGGGTCCTGCTCCATGGCACGCACCAACCGTCGTCTTGGACACTGGTGGGCTGGAGCCGAAGAGCCCACTCCCAAGCACATGGTTCTGCTGCTAAGTATACATGCATGATGGAACAGCATTGAATGCTAGGTGGATGGATGATGAAAGCATTGCATGCTGGGAAGAAAACACCTGCTGCCGATGCAAAGTGTCGGCGATGTCTGTTTTTCTGTTCTTCTCTGTTGGTCCTGCTGGCTCCGCTGCCATGGTCCTGCGGCAGGAATGCATGATCCACCTTTCGTGCAGCTTGATGCAAATGCTTTTATTAACCAAGCGGCAGGCGAACCACTGGTCGATGATGTGCTGGAAGTTGTGGTATGGCCTCTGGTCGTAGAGCAGTTGGGAAAGATCGGCCCTGGAAATCCTGCATGCAAGCAAAAGATGCAGGACAGACATCGAACACGTGCCGCGGCCCGTCCTCACTGGAACGTGCTGGCCGTTGGGTTGGACTTGGCGGCCTTCTCTGGTCTGGCCCCTGTCCACCCAGTGGGTTGAGCCTGCAACCATGGTTGCCCTGCCACTGCGAGGTGGGAGATACCATTGCTTCCAGCCGCCTGGCCAGTATATGGTCAGCCACAGCTGGCCGCCGTACTCTGTGAAGGCATGGTCCTCCAGCAGTTGGTCCATGGCCACTGCGGAGCTGGCTTGCTGGGGCACCAGTGGCTGCACGCACGGCAGTTTCGTGGCTTTGAGCAACAGCACAGGGTGCTAGGTGTTGGCATCATGGGAAGAAAGGCAGAAGGGGAGCATTGCATGCTGGGGTATCGTGGCTTTAAGCAACAGCACAGGGTGCTAGGTGGTGACATCATGGAAAGAAAGCCACAAGGGAAGCATCGCATGCTGGGACAACAAACTGAGCATTGCAGCTGGGACAAGCCGCAAAACACCTGTTTTGATCACCTTGGTTTCGCCGCCCTATTCCGTGACAGTGGTCCTCATCTCCCTGCGCCATCCTGGCACACTTGTGTGGGACAGCAGCATAAAAAGACCGACGCACAGCATTTTTGCATGCCGGGTGGCAGCCCAAGCTTTCGCGGCTGATTCTTTGGTCCTTCACCTCGAATGGGCATTTGTTCTCCTGGCCGAAAAGCAAACACAAACGATTATATGTGTGAAGCAAATGCCACACGCACTCCTGACTCCCGGTGGTTGTCGTTCACAACTGGCGACCGTGCATGGTGGATGGGTACCTGTAGTGCTTCGAATAGCGACACGTGCATGGTGTGCATGTGGCTTTAAGACTCGCTGCCAAGCCACGGTGCAGCAACGGCCCTCAGCACCCATCGTCCTTTATTGGAAGGCGATGGATGTTCAGCACTGGTGTCAGATCACCGCACCCATCGCCAGGTCTGCCAGACCTACGCCGTAGGTCTGGCAGAGCTGGCGATGGGTGCGAACCCTCGCCATCTGCCAGACCTACGCCGTAGGTCTGGCAGAGCTGGCGAGGGGTGCGAACCCACGTTAGTGCGGCCGAGTGAGGTTGGCTTCTGGGGCCAAAGCGGCTACTGGGCAAAAGCATCGCACGCTGGGCCTTAAAAGAGAAAGAGAAAGAGCGAGAGGGAGAGAGAGACAGAGAGAGAGAGAGAGAGAGAGAGAGAGAGCGAGAAAGAGAGAAAGAGAGAGAGAGAGAGAGACGGAGACACAGAGACACAGAGACACACAGACACAGACACACAGAGACACAGACACAGAGACACGCAGACGCACAGAGACACAGCACAGACACACAGACACACGGAGACACGGACAGACAGACAGACAGACAGACAGACAGACAGACAGACACACGGACACACGGACAGACAGAGAGACACACAGACACACAGACACACAGACACACGGACACACGGACAGACAGACAGACAGACAGACAGACAGACAGACACAAAGACAGAGACAGAGACAGAGACAGAGACAGAGACAGACAGACAGAAAGACAGAAAGACAGAAAGAGAGAGAGAGAGAGAGAGAGAGAGAGAGAGAGAG